GAGAGTATCAGGTTTATAGCACTTTAAAATCGATTGAACGTGTCTTTCTGTTAGCACAACTCACATAAGCAATGTGGGTGAAGAATATCAGACAAGAGGATCACCCTCAGGCAAGAAGGGGTTAAACGCACTTGCGACCTGACTCGTGTCACCAAGGAATGCCAAAGGAAGGAGTTCAATTACCCGAAAAAGATGCTCGTTTTCAGCATACTGACGAAGCAGCACGTGCCCGTACTTCTGGGCGTTTTCCGTCAACCGAGGGCTGTCGTCGAGGTACGTTGCCTCGCTTATCAACAGTTTCACCCGCAAAAGGTCCGGATGCGCAGGTCCCGTGAATATTGAAAACCGCGTATCCCCTAAAATCAATCGAATTCTCTAACTGATCCCTCACAAATGGGTACAAAAGCGTGTCCTTAGTACTTATGAATAAGCCGAAATGCACAAATGTAGACATGCAAGGGAACTGTGTGGATAGACACGAGGGATAACGTAAGAGACACACTAAATAACTGCGTGTCACAAATACAACACACTGAACACTAGCATTAACTGATTTGCGTACTTCTAAAACATGGTAATAAGTGAACGAATACTGGCGCCCAAGTACTTTGGCACAAGTGTACACTATCTTTGACTGTGAAGTGCAAACCGGGAGTTAAGATTACCTGTGTAGGCAACCTCAGGTATCCGATGGCCTCGTGCAGTAGCTTGTCGATAGAGGATGCAGCCTTGAATTTGGACAACGTGGTCGGTGGCAAAGCTTTCCACAAACCACGAAGCATTAATCTACAAATTTACTGAATCAGTTCAGCGGAACTACTAACAGCCAAGGCAATAAAAGGCATATTAATGTTTAGAAATGCACAAGTTGCCGCACAAATGGGGCTTCTCACAGGTAAAACACGAGCACAAGAACGCAGCAGCAGCTCAGGCAATGCCTTAGAAACACGTGTATTGCGTTCTTCCATAAAGTAGCACACACCTAATAACCCAGATTTACTCTCACTGAACGTCCTTCCACACGCTTTGCATTGCAAACACGGCCACCTCACACAACGTAGATTGCAGAATATTGGACACATAAAAGTTGTGTTCGTTTGATAACCATTTAACAAAGCATCAGTTAGAACAAACTGTAACAGGCACGCACCTGGATTGACGACCCCGGATCAACAGCCACTATGTTTGGGCACCGAAAACACCCCAAATCCCTCCCGTGAAGCTGACTGAATATTCGACATAGTTCCTTAACCGGTTCAACTAACTGTGGTAGAAGGTAGTTCACAGCTGGTGGAAGATCATTCGATTTGCGTTTATGCATGTGCTGGCATATGGCCCCAATGTGGTCAATGTGGCCATGGCTTCGCTTTTTGTCAAAAAGCAAATCCTGATTGCCTTAAGAACACGTGCTCAGCACACTTCCACCAAAGAGGAGCTGCGCCGTCTTTAAATCTAAACACCAATTCACCTTTTACAACCTCGATAGAGGTCTCGTTTCCAGATATCGAACATCCAAACACTTCAAATACGTTGATTAACCAGCCCGGTCCCATACAGCAACCAACGTGTCCAATTGGATAAAAAAAAGCCTAATGGATTTAAAACGATGTCATAATCGTGTGGCCTTGAAGGAGTCCTACAATTATTGCACTTAACGCACTTTATATAATTTTAATAAAATTAGAAACGCATTGTTATCTATCCATTAAATTAAACTTTCTTTTAATAAAGTATGCCTTATATTTATTTTCCTTATTGCACTGTACACAACAAAAGCAATGAAATATTAATAACAAAAAAAAATAAATTTTAAATCTTAAACAAATTAAAAGCTAACTAACTGACGAACACTTTTTTCCAATCAGAGATGTTGATGCTGTAGCTAAATGTCACCGCAATAATTCAGAAATTCTGGATATTGAAGGATTCGCGCCTGTAAAGCTTACGGACATTGTTTCAAGCATTCAAACCATTTAAGCCAGGATACTGGCACTGCGCCGCTTCACCTCGTTTAAAACTGACCCTTTTATCCAACTCGCCGCAACTCTGTCTCCAACCAAACAAACCTCAACAAATTTAACACTCATAAAATCGCGCCGCATTGCCCCTCGTCCCAAAAATAAACTTCCTCAGTGGCTCCCTCCAATCCGCTCTATCACATCCTCGACAACACCACTGCCACTGCGTCTGCTGCCGCTATTGCTGCAAACTCTCTCACCCTCATACTGTTGCTAACCAAGTGTTGTGCGCAGTTGCAGACTCAGCAGGACGGATTGGGCGAGGCGTGGCGGGGCGATGCGATGCGAGGCGAGGCGAGCCGAGCCGATGCAAGTAAAACACACATAGTACTGAAATGACCGGCGTGCAAGCATCGGTGACAGGGATGGTAAGGTTGAAGAGACCAAAGAATAGTTGCAAGTGTGTGCGTGCGATGACGAGTTGCATGCAAGGCAGGAGGAGGGTGTGGCAGTAGGTGTGTTGAGAGGCGAGTGTGAAAGAGGTGAAATTGCCGAGCTTATTGAGAAGGGAGTGGGTAGGAAGAAGAGGGCGAGTGACGACGTATCTCCTCGGAGATACATATACTAAAATTGGAACGATACAGAGAAGATTAGCATGGCCCCTGCGCAAGGATGACACGCAAAATCGTGAAGCGTTCCATATTTTTCAGCCACTCTGGCTAGCTGGCTGGCTGGCTGGCTGGCTAGCTGGCTTCGTTGCTCACTCGCCCTCCTTCTCCCCCAACGCTCACCTCAACCTCTC